AGGCTGGGGTATACTAAAGCGAAAACCGCATATAGTCAAAATTACATTGAGCGTAATGGCGGGCAGAATCGCACGCACTACAGGAACACTATTTAAATTGTTATTTTTCTTTTTGTTTTGTTTTTGCCGATTGGCGCATGTTAAATGCGCGTAAGATAAAAATCACACAGCATTACCACATCATCCGGCTGAAGCAGCCAATTATATAACCAGATTTTTGATGTAAAGGAAAGGGGGGACTGAAATAACCACATAAGAAAATAAAAAGGAACACAACACTACTCAGAATCTGGATATCAGTTACTGCTTTACAAGGATTATCTCAGATGATTAACTGCATAGTAACATGCTGTACTAGGCATCACCAGGCAGCCTACAGGAAGGATAAACCCGCCCATGCCAAGCAACTATATGCTAATCAAGGGAACAGTAACAAGCACAAGCAAGTGAACTAGAATTAGAGGCAACAGATGATTTGAGAAGAGATGTATTTGACTTCAGAATGCCCTAAGCGGATGTCACTTTAAGCCAGGTTGCAGCGCTGTGGCTTGTGTAGTCAGGCATAGCGCTATAAAAAAAAAAAAAAAAAACACACACCATCTCCATGAGAGGAATAGCTCCCAGCACTGGTGCCCTGTCTACACTGCCACTTTACAGCACTGAAACTTGCAGTGCTGGGGGGGAGTGGAGGGGAGAATTCCACACACCCCAGTGAGAAAGTTGCAGCGCTGTAAAGTGCAAGTGTAGACAAGCCCTAAAACAAAGACTCTCTGAACCTCTGGAGTGAGACTAGATGTGGGGGAAGGGAAGGACAGAATGTGCAAGAGAAAGCTTTCTTCCTGTGCTCAATTACCATAGAAAAGCAGCCCAATTCAAATACAATTCTCTTCTCCTTGGCTTTAATTATTTTCAGTCTCTTAAAGAAAGAGCAGCAGGAATGGGAGGGACAGACAATGAAAAAAAACTAAGATAGTTGGGCCTTGTCCTCAAACTTCCTCCTTCCCCACTGGGGTGGGGTAGCAGGAAGTTCATGAAGTTAAACTCAGCAGCACTATGTTTTGGCACTCTCAGAGTTAATCACACTCTTTGGTATCCAGGCAGCTCTAGGCAAATCGTTGTGATGTCACTAGAGATTTGGAAATTTTTTCCAGACCAGTCAAAGGAGGTGCTGTTGTAATACACCAAACAAGAGTACTGCTGTCTGCAATGTGCTTGCTGCCTTTGTATTTTTTTTTTTTTTGGTAATCACATCAAATGGGCAGTACCAGGAGGTAGCATTGACAACATCCTGGTTGGGAGATGTCTTTTTACGCTGTTTAATGCATCTACAAGGTACACAGCCTGGGTTATAGAAAATATCCAGCAAATCCACTGACAAAGCACAAGGGCTTACATGAGAAACAGGTGCCTGCTACAGGTTGGTGTGTAATACATAGGCCAGACTCTCAGCTAATGTATACTTGTCAGACTTTGGCTGACTTTAAGGGAGCTACACCAATGGGGATCTAGCCCTAGATATTTAGGTACAAGCTCTTTGTGGCAGGGAGCACATTCTACAAATCTGTAAAGCCCCACAGAGATTCATGGTGCTATAAAAAAACCCACAGTAAATGTATTTAAATTCTCTGCTCACGCATAAATATATAATGAGAGCCTCCTATAGTATGTCCTAATGCTTCTACCTGCCAAATCTAAAGATGGCAACTCCACATCCGGTTGATCAGTCAACAGGGGCTGACTTCAACAATGAGGGTGGCAGGCCAGCTTTGGTTGGCAGCAACTGTAAGACTGACTAAGGCTTTTAAAATTCATATATAAATAGACAACTTTCCAAGTACTATTTGTAATAGTACAATATGTAATCAGTGCATTATACGGGATACTTCTTGCTTATACAGCTATATGAGGTAGTGTAAAAACCATTGGTTTCCCAAGTTCTGATGTAAACTCAGCTTCCTTTAACCACCCACCTCACTCCCCAAAAAAAGGAAGAACAGAAAGGATGGATAAAAAGTCTTTCCAATTCTACAGTTTCACAATTCATATAAACTGAGCCCAGGTTTGCTGGTTAAAACCCAACTAGGTGAAAATGAGCCCAAGGGCAAAATGCCCTCTCCCCAAGGACAACCATGCCAAGCGCTTCAGTTCTGAGAGATACATTCCTTGTTTAAGACAAAAGAGGCGTCACCACCATCCTTGATGCTTGGTTGTTTAAAAGAAGAAGAAAAAAAAATCAGCGAACTGAAATATTTTAACAGTATCTTTTTGTAACTTTGACTGGGAGGTGGGGGAGAAGAACCACAGTGACTAACAGCCACATGCTAGGTCAAGCTGGAACCAGAGACACCATTTCTCAAATTATAGATCACTGCGCATTTCGTGTTTGTTTTATTGTACAGAACTGCAGCTGCTTTCCTCCAGGGTCAACTCAAAGTGAACTAGAGCTTGCAGACTATTAGAATCCAAAGGAAATAGATACGGCTGTACTGTACAGAGAACAGAGAGGGGGGAAGAGAGGAGCCAAAAAGATGGAGAGAGGAAAAACTGGGAAGTGATGCCCTAGGATCTTCACAAGGCCCCTTGTATCTATCTGGTTAGTGCAATGCAGGCTGTGATGCACCTAGAAGTGGGGGTCCTTCTGGCCTCTGACTTAGAAGGAGGAGTGGGGAGAACCACACCAGGGAGAAGGGAAGGAGGCGGCTATGGATTTGAGCCATTGTGCACCTCATGGTCTCACTCAAGTTATATTTAGTTGCTAGGAGACTGGCTTCAAGGACTTGCTCATTCCTGAGTCTCCCCTGCTTCCTCCCCACCCAGCCCTTTCCTCTCTCCCCGGAGCTCAGGCAGGTTATTTCTCCAAATAGAGACGGGGGAAAAACATAAAACAAACCCAAGAGGACCATCCACACATCCAGGAAAACCAAACCCTAAATGTCCTACCACTGGATGGCCTTGCCCAGAGCGCCCAGTGCCTCCGGTTACCTCCTGCTTTGAGGTGTCACCTTGACTAACCTTGAGCTCTGATGCATTATTAACCCTTTGCTTCCCCAGCCAAGCAGCCCCACCGAGCTTGCTGGATTCCAGAGGGTCTCTTTTTGTAACACAAAAGCCTCCACACCAATTTCAGAGGCCATCCCTGTAACACCTTTAAACAGAGGCCCTTCTCCTGGCTCTCTCCACAATTCGCCCTCCTCCAAAGACACCATGCCAGCCGCATTGGCTCCTCTACAAAGGGTCTGATGCAGAGGAGGATGGTGGGAAACAGCGAGAGGTATGTGTAGGGTTGTTCGCCCCCGCGCTCACAGCCGCCCACCCCACCCCTACCGCAGTCACGACTCAGATTTAACTACATCAGTGCCCTTCAGCGTGACCTTTTGCAGGGAAAAAGAAAAAAAAAGACACCAAAGCAGCTTTCTCCAGCGAGGAAGGAGCTCGGCCTTTCAGATTTCAAACATCGCTGACAAATCTAGGCAACAGGCTGAACAACCGGGCACGGACAAGACCAAAAGACGAGGCAAGGTTCCTCCTCTACATCAGACACCACACACGCAATCGCTTTCCTCCTCGAACAATAAGCACTTCAGCTCCCCAGGCGATACAGCATCCCTTCCCGAAAGGAAGGAAACCAGCCGCCCCCAAATCAGCTAACAGCTCAAGGTAACACCGTAAGGAACCAGACATTAAATCCACACCAGCGTAATCAAGTCTGGGGTGTGGTTTTTTTTAAATCATCATCGACATCGAAGCAGCATTTAAGACCAGTGAAGAAAGTTCGAGGTGTATTGTTTTAATCCTGATGCGAGAGGGATTGTCTCTAGTTTGCTCTAACCCGATTACAATGAACAGGGGAATCAGTTCCTTGCCCCCACCCGCCTTTCGCCACCTTTCTAGCGCGAGGTATTGCGGGTCCGCGTTAGCCTTTGCCGGGAGCAGGGGCCCGCAGCCTCCTTCCACGCACCCACCCGAGACACGCAGCCCGCACTGGGTGCGGGGGAGGAGGCAGGGCTGCGGCAGGGGCTGGCGCACACGGAGCCCGGCTCAGGGAAGCACTTACACCAGCTGCCGCCGGTCCTGCCCAGAAACTCCTTCTTCTCCGAGTTCCAGATGAATTTCTTCCAGTTGCCATCGCCTTCCTTCGCTTTGCCGCGAGCCATGAGAGAGGGATCGGCCCCGCCTGGGCGCAGAGGTGACACGGGAAAATCCTCGTCGCCCCCTTAGAGCAGAGCGGAGGGGGGGAGGGGAGGCTGCCCGGCCAGCAGGTTCCCGCGCACGCCCCGGCAGCGGCTGCTTTGCAGGTGGGAGGGCTGCGGGCCGGTCCTGGCCGCGGGGCAGGTGGGACGCAGACGGGCCGCGGGCTCCCAGGCACAGCGAGGGGCCGCTCACAGAACCGCACTGGCCAGGGACATAGGCTCGGCGAGAGCTGGGCACCGCAGCGTGCTATATTGCCCGGCTCCCGGGAGCTGACTCCGCCCACCGAACGCCGGCAGCCAATGAAAGCGGGATTTGGGGTGGGGGCGTGGCTTGGAGGGCGGGGGGGGAAGCACGTGGCTGAGCTGCAAGGCGTCTCGGGTTGTAGCCTCCCCCCCTGCGCGCACCTGCAAAGGAGACAGGGCGCTAGGGAAGACCCCACCTGTAATGGCGGGGGGCGGGGCTGAGCCCTGCCGGGGAAAGAGGCAGGAGGCTGCGGGCCAGAGCCGCGCAGGGCGAGGGGAGTGGTGGCTCGAGTAGCCGCCAGGCTGAGCCCTGCGGGCGCCGGGAAAGGCGATGGGGGCGGGGAGAGAGAGAGCGCTCAGGGGGCCCCTGCAGCTCAGCGAGGTGTGGCTGCAGCCCTGAGGCCGGCAGGGGAAGGGGGTGAGAGATCAGAGCCGGGTGAGGGCCATTTAAGGAGGCGGCTTGGCACAAGCTGCTAGACAAAGGGAGGCGGAGGCCTGAGAGGGGGAGGGCTGGCGCCAGCCGCACACCTGAGTCCTTGTACGTAAAGGGGGAGGAGGAGGAGCTGGGGAGAGGGATAAGGGGTCAAGGGCGTGTCCAGTTGCAGGCGGGAGCTTCGCTGCGAAGGGGGAAGGGAGAGGGAGAAATGCCTTTCCTGCCATTTCCACACCTCCCCCAACACCACCATCCATACACTTGACAGCAGCTAATCCTGCCATGGGCTAATAGTGTCTGAGCCCCCTCTCCCCCTTCTTTGGGCCCCACATGCCTCCAAAGCATTCTTGCAAACCTTTGGCTCCCACCTGCTAGCTGCCCACAGCTACCACACAAAGTACCGCCCCCCCAGAAGTTCCTTCCTTGCATCTGCTTCCCTCCCCGGCGCTGGGAATCCCCCTTCCCATGAATATGCAAACACAGGATAGCAGCTCACTCAGCTGGAATGAGAAAAGGGTCCTACCCCCTGAATCTATGCCAGGAACTCCTAGTCTTAGGTTTTTATATGGTGCCTGGCACAGGGGTATTTAAGTTATGACTCATGAGAGGTGGGGGTGATGATATAGTGGGCATCCTTCATCTCTGGCAGCAGCTGCAGGCTGGTCTGGGTTTAGGAGAAGGCCAAAGGTGATATCTGCTGACAGCAGGAGGAAAAATGCCTCACCCTTAAAATCATTTTCTCTTTGCTATGCAGCCTCCGCTGCATGAGCCTCTACTTCTGCAGCAGCCCTGCTGCTGAGTAGAGTGTATAGTAGAGCAAAGATACACTGCGTACCTTTCTTTCTTGGTTTCTCCTCCCATCGGTCTTTCCTACCCTCCATTCTAAAAATTACACTGCGCTCCAGCTCACTCAAGGGTAAACACAGCTATTGCATATTTAATGCAAATAACATGCCCCATGCTGGGTTTGTGCTAGGAACACCTGTTAGGAGGAGGAGAAAGGCAGAGCCTGCCCCTGGGCAGGGATGGGTCCCTGCTTTGGGGGTGGGGGAGAGAAAGAGGCTGTGCCAGCTACAATGTCTGCAACAGGATGGTAGGTATGGCAGGGGGTTAGGTTGACCAGACAGCAAATGTGAAAAATCGGGATGGGGTGTGGGGTAATAGGAGCCTATATAAGTAAAAGACCCAAAAATCAGGACTGTCCCTATAAAAATCAGGACATCTGGTCACCCTACAGGGGGTAGAGTCTGCAATGAACAGACCAGACTAATGGATGGTAGTGATCAGGAAGAGATTGGGGAAGGGGATGCCATCTGAGGCGTGAGAGCAAGGACCCGGCCAGAGTATTTCCTCCCAGTTTGACCTTCAGGAACATATGCACTATTTTCCTCTTTCTTCCCCCTCAGGGACCCTGGAGAGCACATGGTCAAACTAAGCACAGTCAGGGAGAAGAATGAGCTGCTCACAGCTACTGCCTAGATTTTGTTTGTTTGTTTGTTTTTCAAAGCCATATCGCAACTTGCTGGGTCCTTGTAAGCTGAGACCGGATCAATACCTCACAGAGAAGCACCACTATGGAGCAGGTGAGGGCCAGCAATCACTGCCCATACCCCAATGCTAGGCCAGTCACCTATCCATGCCCAGCAAGAACCATTGGCTCACCCATAGCCTACCCCACCATTTACTGAACACCACCACACTCCTGCCAACTATCTTCCCTTAGTAATTGGCCCTGTACTCAATATTGCCAGGCCCCCCACCAAAACCTAAGCATTAATTTCTGGCCCATCACTCTGGGTACTCACTCCTTTACTGTATTACCGATAGCTAACACCACCACTTAGCTCTATATACAAGCTTTTCCTCCTTAGGCCTCAAAATGCTTTACAGAGGAGGTCAATATCATTGTGGCCATTTTATAGATGGGGAAACAAAGGCACAAAAAGGTAAAGTGACTCACCCAATGGCCGACCCAGATACAGGACACAGGGTCCCAGAGTCTCAAGTCAGCATTCTGTGCTTCATATGTTGCCTCAATAACCTAGCACCCACACCTGCTCCAATCAACTTTAACTCTGCCCTCTAGTGATGCCGTGGGTGGAAGGGAAGAGTATCAAAATTAAACATGTCATTAAAAATCAATTTAATCTTATTATGGAACCACAAATACCAATAGCCCTTAATCATAAACATGGTTATTGCATGGTATCACTGTGGGCAGAGTTAAGGTGGTTTGGGTGCCTTAGATGTACATTTCATGCCTTAACATGTTTGGATTTCTTCTAAATAACCTTAACTCTGAATTTCCTGTGTTTGTAATGCTTGGGTTTGGGTAATTACAGCACCCCTGTACATATCTGGCCTACTGGTTAGAGCACTGGACTAGAATTCAGGATACTTGGGTTCCATTCCCAGCTTAAGCCACTGGCCTGCTGAGTGACCTTGGACAAATCACTTCACTGCCCCATGCCTCAGTTTCCCTATCTGTAAAGCACACTGAAATCTACTTCTGAAAAATGCTATACAAGAGCAAGGCCTTATTACAAGGAAAAGCTTTGTTAGTTTAGCAGCATCAAGCAGGACTGTAGAAACCATAATGGCATATCCCAAACCTAGAACCCAAGGGAAACAAAACTACCCAGAATGCATTTCAAAAGGCCAGGTGGGTGAGGAATCTTGTATTGGACCAACTTCTGTTGGTAAGAGACAAGCAAACCTTTTGAGCCACACAGTTCTTAAGCTTGTCTCTCTCTAATATCCTGGGACCACCACTGCATAATTTCAAAAGGCACACACCTAACTTTCAATCCAAGGCCTCCAATCCTGCAAACATTTATGCACATGCTTAAGTTTATATCCATGAATAGTTCCATTGGGTTCAGGATCACTGTTGTGTAAAGTTAAGCAGCTGCTTCCATGTTTGCAGAATGGGGGCCCAAGTTAGGTACAACTTCACCCGTCCCCTGCCTGGCCATTCAGATTTTGCCCAGACAGTCTGAGCACACAACTATATGATCTGATTTTCAAAAGAGCGATAAGAGCCTACAATGACCTTTGAAAATGCTGAGGACAAAAAGTGCAAAGATATCCACCATGTCTACAAGTTTAGCTGCAGGAGGAAGGAGTTTTGGAAACCCACTTCCACACTACCTAGGGAAGAATGATTTAGCAGGATGGGATTTACTCTCAGTTTCATGAGAATTTGTTTCTCATTTGAATGGGGTGAAGGGAGGGGGCTGAGGTGAGGCATCTTCTTGCAGTGAGAGAGGAGAAGGGATTCAAGAGTTGTTCTCTCTTGAGGAGATGGTACAAGTTGTCCTGCAGTGAGAGGTGGGAGTGGGGAGAAGCAGAATTTTGCCCAGAAAGGTGATTATTCTGCCCTTTGGGCAGGGAAAGTGCCTTGCTCTCAGTGAGGAAGCAATGTGGATTTTACTGCTGGAGGAAATGGGGGTAGTTTTGCCACCTGGCTAACTCCCGCCCACAGAAACCCAAGTAACTTGCACTGAAGTGAGGCTGGTGAGGTAATATCTTTGATTGGCCCAACTTCTATTGGTGAAAAAGACACGCTTTTGAGCTTACAGAGTTCTTCTCCAGGTCTGCAAATAACTTGCATTACACTCTAAGGCCGTGGCTACACTCAAAACTTCAAAGCGCTGCCACAGGAGCGCTCCCGCATCAGCGCTTTGAAGTGCGAGTGTGGTCGCGTGCCGGCGCTGGGAGAGAGCTGCAGGTACTCCACCTCCACGAGGGGATTAATTTACAGCGCTGGGAGCATGGCTCCCAATGCTGGGGCACTGTTTATACTGGCGCTTTACAGCGCTGTAACTTGCTGCGCTCAGGGGGGTGTTTCACACCCCTGAGCGAGAAAGTTGCAGTGCTGTAAAGCGCCAGTGTAGCCAAGCCCTAAGTCTGAAAGGATGGACGGGAGAGGGGAGCAGGCTAAGGTGGAACCTCAAACTGCTAGAACAAGCACTACTTAAAAGATGAAAGTGCGTAAAATGCCCTTAAGTAGTTACCATTCGTGGGCTGCTGCTGCAAACAGGCAGGGCCGGGTCTCATCTGTCTGGCAGGCCTAGAGCAGGAAGGGGCAGCTGCTCAGAAGCCTGGCACCCATGCCCACACCACACAAAACAGGTGAGAGAAAGAAACAAAGGGGGCCAATCAGAGCCACCACAGTGCAAAAGGCCACAAGCCGCATGTGCTGTGTTCATTCTCCCAGGAAGAACTAGGGAGACACAGGGCCTGATTCTCAGTGACACTGAGGCATTTTACACCACACCAGCAGCATAAAGTAGCCACAGAGTGGCTAGAAATAGCCCCTGAGAATGTCCCTTGCACCCCAGTCAGTGTAAAGCTGGCATATAGACTCTACATCAGCCCTAGGTGTAAGGAGCATCATGTCTGCACCACACTGCGCCGCGACTGTTCCCTGATTCTCTGCCTCTGGGACCCATAAGGGTCCATGAGAAGCAGAGCATATGTTTTGGAGCAGGACAGAAGCTGCTTTAAATTACATCAGGGTACAGGCAGGTCTGCATAGCCCCAGAATACAGAGTGCGCAAAAGTGGCTTAAAAAATACCCACAATCTTTGCTCCCCATTCCTGTCCCAAGCACAGGAATGGCATATCTGAGAACCAGGCCCACAGACATGCATTTAGTCCTCTGAGCAGAGAGATTTTATTTATGTAGGTTTATTAAAAGTGCCTATCCAAGCTCCAGGCATCAAAGCAGGGAGGTGGCAACTGGTAATTAGATCAGCAGAAAACCATCAAGGAACCCAGTTCTCCTCTTGCTTATGCCAATTTTACACCTATTAATACCGTTGACTTACTCCTAGCTTAGGCCAGTCTCAGCAGAGTCAGGTGTATTGACTGAACAGAACTGTTCAGGCTTCGGTTTCCAATTCAGCACAGAACAGGAGGGTGCAGGATTCACAGCCCTGGAAGGTCTGAGTGTGTTGTTGGTGGGCAGGCAGGATTTTGGGGATGCAATAGCACTGTATGGAACAGGAGAGAGATTCACTGCTGGATGTTAAATAACCAGGCTACGTCACTGGGGCTGGGTATTGTTCCTTTTGCTGCTGCCTATGCGGTTATGTACAGAAGACTCCAGTTTCCAGGGACCATCAATCTGACTCCTTTCACCAGCACTAAACCACTTAAATTTGGGAACAAAAAACTAAAATAAACCTCTGAAACCTGATCTAACAGAGGTTAAAAAAAAGTGTGTGGGGGGAGAATGGTTTCTGTCATTAGCTATCAGGCGCTGACTTATCCAAGCAGCCCACACAGGGACTGGGGATGGGAGGGGTAAATCAGGGCACAACTTGTCTCTAAACCTCTTGTAATTGTTCAGTCAGGAGCACAGTAGGATGGCAATGTGATTTACAAACCCTTTCAGAGATTTTTTCCTCCCAGCAGGCTGGACACCAGCAGCAGGAGGTTAAGAAGAATGCCAATTATAGTTAAAAAGCTTTATTTTCAGTTCTACCCATGGTAAGAAAGAAGAGCTCCCAGTTCTTAGCTTGTGAACTCTGAGAATGCTGCAGAACAGAAAGCTGGCTTTGACTCTTTGTCTGTCTGGCTCATTAGCCGGATTCCCATGCCATTCTTTAATGATCTGAGTTGCTTGACACCCTGGTGGAGAGCTGGGGGGGAGAGGGTGAAGAAGAGAGAAGGCAGTAAGATTTGACTGGACTACCTGCCTCTTGAGATGTCATCATCTAGTTCCCATAGGGCAGCACGTCTTAGAATCCTCTTGGCGGCAGCATGAGATGATGTGTCTCGGAGCATGTCTAGACTGCAATCATGGGGTCTGACTGCAGCTCACGTAGACGTACCCAAGCTAGCTTTAAATTTTGCTAGCTCAGGTACCAGACTGGTGAAGCCATAAGCAGCATGCACTTCAGCTCAGGCTACTCCAGCAAGTAATTACCCAGGGTTCATACAGCCTGCACAGAAGCGTGCATTGCTGTGGCTTCACTACTCTGGGACCTGAGTAAGGAGATTAAAGCTACCTCAGGTAGGTCTGCTTGAGCTGCAGTTGCACCCCTGCTTGCACTCTGGACGTAGCCTTGGCTACATTTCTCCGAAGTGGATTTGGTGTTGATGGAAGGTGATGAGTTGACAGGCCACGGGATTGAAGTTCTCTATGCACTATGGCTCAGGCAGTGGTCGTTTCCTCACACACAACACCTGTTGACAAGTGGCTTCATCTCAGTTCTGAAGGAGTGCATGGAATATGCAAATAGGGCCAGATTTTCAAAGATACTGAGGCACCTAGAGATACAGCTTGGTGCCTGGTGGGATTTTCAAAAGCATCGAAGCAGGTTAGGCACCTAATCCCACTTGGCACTATCTGTATCTTTAGGTGCTTCTATGCCATTGAAAACTTAGCCCATAGACAGTCTCTGTGGTCCATTCAGTTCCTCCTTGGCCTCTCTGCTGAGACAGCTAGCAACAGAGCCGATTAGTGCCAGTTGCGTGGTGGTGTTTTTTTTTAACCTGGATATCTGCCCACTATGAATTGGACGGAGACCACTTCATTTCACAGGGGTCACCATGGGGATGACTTTCACGCACT